GAGACAGGAAGGGCGTTAAGGACACGTAGAAAGGAACATGAAGCGGCTGTCAGACTTGGAAAAACAAGCTCGTCGGCTTTAGCGGAACATGCAAGCAAAACAGGTCATGCGATTAACTGGAAGGAAACATCCATCTTGTGCAAAGAAAGCCGTTGGTCGCAGAGGAGATGGAGTGAGGCAATAGAGATTGCAAAGAAGAACGTTTTGTTTAATGGGACAAGGGGCGGATGATCCCGCAAAATTATCTCTGTGTAATTAGAAGTTAGTTACCGCGCGCGCTTATTAGATCTTCTCAGAGCGCGCGCTCATTGTTTTTWTGTTGTTTTGTAAAATGTAACGTTTTTCATTCAGTCTTGATAATGGCTCGGTGACCTGAAAGCTCGACGAAAATATATAACTTTTAGGTCGAAGTAGCGCTTACATCGTAATATAAAATAGGTCCAAATTTCGAGTCTTTCTGAGCATCTATCTACAATGTGGACAACAACATACTGTGACGTCATTATGCCATAGTGCAATGCGTTTCTGGAATTATACAAAWTACGGTGCAAAACATCTAAATCGTCAATGCTAACCGTGTACAGTAAAGCGATAAATGATGTGTTGACTGCTAGTCTTCGTAAACAGATGTTTTAAAAGATAAGTTTAACAYCGTAAAAAAGTAGATGAAACAACTTTACTGACGTTACGGATATGAATCCTTCGTCGRAGTAAAAAACAGGGTCTGCGTACTTTTAACTTGTACACAATTATATTATATATCAAATACAAATAGTACTTTTGTGATATATTTTGTCCAATCGGAAATACAATCATTTCCGAAAGAAGTTTTGGCAAACCGGTGATGTTTACTGTGTGAAATGATAGATATTATGTTATTTTTTGTATCTTTTATCATATTTTTGTCTTTGTTTTCAATTTTAACGACGCAAGTAGAAAACTTTTGTGCCACCTGCTTCGGATCGGCGTTTGTGATTGGTGAAAATAYTTAATTTCTAAAGCAGCAATATGATTGGCTAGAAAATATACCCCTGGGGTGGGCAAAATATATCATTTCTTCTGATTGGCTGACAAAAATTGACATATTTGACAGCTGACATCCGAAGTAAAAAGACAAAAATATGATAAATATTTACAAAAATCTATAAAAAGAAGAGAAAACCTCTCAGGAACCAGGGTATAAAGAATGGACATTATAACGCCAATGCACCAATAGAGAATGGCAAAGAAACTTTCTTTGAGTCTTCAATCCTGTATAACATACTAACAGCACTAGCACACTAACAATACTAGCACACTAACAATACTAGCACACTAACAATACTAGCACACTAACAATAGAGCGGATTTCGTATGAGTGGGACACCGTTACCGCACGGTTACCGCACAGTTACCGCACCTGGCCTGCACAATTTTGGTGAACCAATGGGGCACTAGAATTTGGTTACAGTACGATTACGGTCACAGTACAGTACCGTCCGTTTCCCACTCATACGAAATCCGCTCTA